TTTTCCCGCAACCAAACAAAACCATTTTTTTTTGTCTACTGCAGTGTGTTTTGTTGTTCAATTCATTGCACAGCTCCAGTGAGTGTAGGCTTAATTTATTGTAACTTATCATTGAGATCTCTTCAGCTAGCCTATAAAGTCATGGCCACTTTTGTTAGAAAGTCCCACTAAGTTCAACTAAGTTTCGCTTAGAGTTTAACTTAAATTATACACAAATAATTTCTTGAATTATATTTCACATGTTTAAAAGTAAAATGCTGCTGTCACCCGGTTTGGGCTATTTATTATAGTTTTTCCAAATTAATTTTAATTATAATTTTTGTTTATAAAAGTATGCTCATTGTCTAACAAAATCTGTACAACTAAAATTTAATTTAAAATATTGAAAAAAGTCAACAAAAAACAAATAAGAGCAGCGCTGTCTTCGGCTATGCCGAAGGCTTCATACCTTTCATGAACATCTGAAAACTTTACTTTAACAGAATACTGCATTTGAAAAAATTTATATATTCCCAGCACACATAGATGGAGGAGTTACATATATGTATAAAAAATCTTATCTAAACAATCAGAGGTATGGAAGGTATACCTTATATAGCACCAATCAAAGTGATTTTCACTGCTGTGTGATTGGTATGGAAACCGGTAACACAATTTAATGGGTTTAGCTTCCTACATAAAGGAGATAAATATATCGCAAAAACTGGTATAGGAACAATCAGTGGTATACGAGATAAGGCTTATGCAGCATAGATTTTGACAATTTTTTCAGTGGACTTTGTATTATTATGTATACAATAGCTTACGAAATTTATCGGTTTTAGCTGTCCAAATAAATTAGTTTTACATTAAAGCCCCATATCTGAACAATCAGCTATATGGAGGCAATATATAAGTTACAGTGACCCGATCTTTGTTAATTTTACTGTAAACTATCTGTTGATAATAAGTGAAAATAGTGCGAAATATCGTGTTTCTAGCTGCATATATTTAGAAGTTATAACAAAGAATCTCATATCTGAACAATCAGTTGCATGGGAGCTATATGTAAAAGAGACCCGATCTTTGTTATTATCACTGTAAGAGTTCTGTTGATAATCGTTGGAAGTATTGCAAAATTTCATGGTCCTAGCTGCATAAATCGAGGCGACATAACGAAAATTCTCATAACTGAACAATCAGTTGAATGGGAGATATATGTTATAGTGACCCGATCTTTGTTATTTTCCCTGTAAATAATCTGTTAATAATGAGTGAAAACGGTGAGAATTTTCATGTTCCTAGCTGCATAAATGGAGAATTTATGGCAAAAAATCTCATATCTGAACAATCAGTTGTATGGAGGCTATAGGTTATAGCGACTCGATCTTCGCCATTTTCTCTGAAAGTATTGTTTTGATAATGAGTGACAACAGTTCAAAATTTCATGTTACTAGCTACTTAAATGGAGGAGTTATAACGAAAAATCTTATATCTGAACAATCAGTAGTACGGGAGCTATAGGTTATAGTGACCCGATCTTTGTAATTTTCACTCTAAGTTCTCTGTTGATAATGGGTGGAAGTATTGCAAAATTTCATGTTCTTAGCCGCATAAATGGAGAAGTTATAACGAAAAATCTCATATCTGAACAATCAGTTGTATGGGAGCTATATGTTATAGTGGTCCGATTCTTCCGGTTCCGACAATGATTAATACATTATAAAAATACACCTACCTACCAAATTTCATCCGGATATCTCGAAAACTGAGAGACTAGATAGCATACAAACAGACGGACAGAAAGACAGACAGACAGGCATGGCTAAATCGACTCCGTTCGACGTTCTGATCATTTAAGTATACATTTTAATGGGTCTATCTCTTCTTATTCTGGTACTTACAAACATCGGACCAAAGTTATAATACCATTTCATGCTCATGAAAGGTATAAAAAATAAAATAAAATGCGAACATTCATTATATGGAAGAAAGCGCGCAACACCGCAAACAAAACAAGTAAGAAAGTCTAAGTTCGGGCGGAGCCGAACATTAAATACCCGGCGCAAGTATTAAATATGTTTTTTCACCTTTCCGAAACCTTCCGCTAGATGGTAAGCCGGGGTGTATCAATTTTGAGTAAATTAGCGTCCTTCAATTTCGAAATATTGAAGTTTCAAGCATTTCTGAAATTTACCGTTATATGAGAATCGGCCGTTATTTTAGTCCGATTTCAATAATTTTCAACGTTTTGCTTACACGTGGCAAGCACAATAACCACACCGGGTTTGGTACAAATTGGTAGAACGGTTACCGATATACATATATGTGATCATAAGTGGGCGGTGCCATGCCCATTTTCCAAAATTTTACCATAAACGTATTTCTTGGTAAGGAATTGTTGCAAGTATCAATTTTGAATAAATTAGCTTCAATATTTACTGATTTATCGAAGATTTTGTATTTCTCTAAATTACCGTTATATGGGATGTGGGCGTGGTTATTGACCGATTTTAAAAAGTTTCGGCGATTTTTTATGCTGTACCAGGGCCAACAACTGTGCCAAGTTTGGAAGAAATTAGTGCGGCGGTTACCGAGATATACACATGTAACCATAAGTGGGCGTGGCTACGCCCATTTTCCAAAAATTTATAAT